TAGGGTTTAGGGTTTAGTTAGCGTTTGGGGTTTAGGGTTTATGATTTTTAGTTTAGGATTTAGGGTTTAGGGTTTAGTGTTTGGGGTTTAGGGTTTATGATTTTTAAAGTTTAGGATTTAGGGTTTAGGGTTTAGCGTTTGGGGTTTAGGGTTTAGGATGTAAGGTTTAGGATTTAGGGTCTAAAGTTAAGTTTAGGGTTTAGCGCACGAATTTCTTCCTGGCAAGTCGTGTTGCTCCGCGTGGCCACTGTCATGCCTGGACACTGGATTGGAGGTGTTCGCCCGGAGCAGCGGGCGCTGAATTCCTCGACGTTGTGTGCAAAGCAACCTTTAGGCTAGAACCGCGACTAAAACCCGAAAGCCCAAAGCCTAACCCCTTAACCCTAAACCCTAAACCCCAAACCCTAAACTCTAGAATCTAATCCCTATAGCTTAAACCCTGAAGCCTAAGCTTAAACCCTAAAGCCTTGAAGCTTCAAACCCGAAACCCGCATGGCCAGGTCAGTATAGCACCCATGTAGTACTCCTGAAGTAATCTTATATGGGTACGGTTGATGATATAAATTTTGCATTACCCATAATACGGAACATACCATATTTCCCATGGTTTAGGGTCCTTAAGGTAATGCAGGATTCATATCATCAACAGTAGTTCTCTAAATTAGGGCCCCTTTTAGGTCCCCAAGATAGTACGGCACCCTTACGAAAAAAGGACCATAGAAGGAACCCTAACTTAGACAACTGCCTATATAGTACCCCTTAGGTCGTTGCAGTAACTTGTTTTAACCTTATAGTAAGATTACAGGTGCTGCCAGAGGTTCCCCTTATGGCTTAGAAAGCGCTTCAAGTACCCTTACTTAGAATACCATTCTAGCAATCTTCTAAATTGCCCAGGCGCTACAGCAGCCTGAAAGTAATCCTGAAGCCTTCAAACCCAACAGCACCTTGCAGTCATTGTAGTACCTTTATAGTACCCTTTGCATAGCCCAGGCTACGAGACAAACCCTAGAACCCCAGACCCCAAACCCTAAACCCCAGACTCTAAACCTTAGACCCTAAACCCCAAACCCTACACTCTAAGCCCTAAGACCCTAAACCCTAAACCCTAAACCCTAAACCCTCAACCCTAAAACCCTCAAGCCCAGGCTATGAGATCTTCTCCCGGATCTTGTTGCTCGTTTACCCCACGATCCTCCTCATTTCCTGGAGTCAGCAGCTCCTGATGCCGCGTGCCGGGAGCGGTTTAGGGTTTAAGGGTTTAAGGGTTTAGGGGTTTAGGGTTTAGGGTTTAGGGTTTTAGGGCTTGAGGGTTTAGGGTTTAGGAGATCACCACGGTTTAGGGTTTAGGGTTTATGAGGGTCTGTTAGGGGTTTGAGAGGGGTGTGTTAGGGGTTTTGAGGAATTTTCATAGGGTTGCATAGGAGCTGTGCATAGGTGTCTCGAGTTTATAAGGTTCTGGCAAGGCTGTCGAGGTCCTGTCTGGGTTTCTATAGGGGTCAAGTCGCTGTTGCCGTCGCTGTCTATCATGGTCATCAACATCACATCATCACCATCATCATCGTCGTCATCACCATCACCATCGTCATCATTCATCTTGCTTCCTTCGTGAAGCACCATACCATGCATGTCTGCACTGTAATGCCAGATTTTCTTTGCCATTGCAGTGACTGAGAACACCAGCGTAGTAGTAGCAGTAGCAGCAGCAGTAGCAGCAGCAGTAGTAGTAGTAGTAGTAGTAGTAGTAGTAGTAGCAGCAGCAGCAGCAGCAGCAGCAGCAGGAGTAGTAGGAGTAGTAGTAGTAGTAGTAGTAGTAGTAGTAGTAGTAGTAGCTGCCGTAGCTAAGCAACGGATGTCAAACAGGCACCAGTTTCGTTGGCTGGTATCAGAACCTCTATAAGCGCGATT